TGACTTTATAGTTAGTGCATTAACTGGGCAGTCAAAAGAGGACTTTGGTTTTTGAGGGCGAATACTACCCCGGGCAGGGAGTACTATTATGGAAACACTTGGGGTAGGTGCAGTGGACCATTATTTCTCTCATTGTCTTTAGATAATGGTGTGCAGCTCATATGCATAATATAATAGTCTAATTTATCTCTTGGCCTTTATTGTCGAAATATGCGGATGTATGGATGACTTAAAAGGTGCAAAACTTTATGTACTGTAGCCTGGATAATGGGGGCCGAGTACGGGGAGTTGTGGAGCTGTTTTGGTGGTGACCGGAGGCCCGTTTTATATAGTGCATTGTGTTTGTGTCTTAATGTACTAGAACACTTGGAGGTGTGACGGTCGGACGGGTATTTGGATGTAGGAGGCGAATTGTCTAACTGCAATTGTTCTTTCTGGCTCACTGCCGACTCCCGCATTGGCGACCGCACGCCCTCACTGACCCATGACTGTTGCTGCCACCGGCCTAAGGACGCAGGCCTTGCGACCCCGCGGCCCCGGGCCCTGCTGCATACTCCGAACAAGCGTGCGCCCCGATTACGCCGGATCTGCATGCCATCGGGCGAAGATCCGAGGTCACCCATAAGGGGTGGACCGGGCGATGGTAGGCACGTGCCGGCTCCAATGAACAAAACCACGTCAATCAGCCACCCTTTGGTGGCAGAATCTGGTGGAATCACAAGGAGAAGGAATCCTCCGAACCTGGGGAGACTTTGTAGATATCGAAAAAGGTCATTTTGGGGCAGCCAATAAATGATAGAAATCCAAGGATAAGCTAGCCAGGCTGAACCAACCCATGAGTGTCGAGAACTACATGGCAAAATTTGTGGATCTGAAGACACGCATCAAAGGGATCAGCGACGACAAATGCTTGGATAGATACAAGCAGGAGTTGAAGTCGACGGTGAGACTTAACGTGGAAAGAGCCAATCCCCAGAACCTTCAACAGGTGATGAGTCACGCATTGAAGGTGGATGGCATCCTGTTTAGAGTGAACGGGACGTCAAAACTCCAACTCACAGAACCGCCCCTATGAAACTTACCCTGACCGGTGCCACGAGCCGGGCCAACACCGATGGAGGTGGACAATCTACAAGGAGCGAGGCCTATCTGAGTACAGTGCCACTGGTGCAGAGGATATGGGCACTTTGCAAAAGAATGTGCAACAAAACTAAGGCCAAGAGAACGCACCTCAACCAATCAAGATGTCAGATGTCATAGCATAATCAATGGGGAGAGGATCCTAAGATGTATTGCGGCAATATGCGGGAATTGCGAGTGGGCACCAAGAAGTTGTTGTGCTACTTTGGAAAGCTGGAAGGCCGTATTGTCTGAGACCTGGTGGACTCAGGTGCTACGGGTAACTTTATGGCCAAAGGAGTACTACCGGAAGAATACAAGCAAAGGTGCCATACAATAACCCATGATCTGGAAGTCACACTCATGGTCGGAACCAAAGTTGAGGGCATTGTGAGGTGTCAAGGGTTGAAGTTTATCATGGGAAACTGCGAGATATCCATAACAACGGTGGAAATGTTGCTGGGGACCTTCGACCTTATATTGGGGCTCCCGTGGCTGACTAGAATAGAGCTTGAGTTCGACTGGGTCACAAACAAGATGACAATAGGCCGTGATATCCAAGCTTGGTTTTTGTGCTGTAAAAACTGATCGTATTTACATTTTTACATGTAAAAATAGTTTTTACGTTTTTGCACATTAAAATGCATAAAAATACGTAAATACAACTTAAAAACTGCTTGGTGTGCATAAGGACAGTACATGCAGATTTGTGGAGTCCAGAAAGCGGCAGTTATATGCCTTGGAAGATACAAAAAACGAGTTTTTGTTAAACCCCATCATCGCCCTTGCCAAGGGCGATGTAGACATTGTGTTGCAGGTGCTGGAGATGGCAGAGCACTTATCATTGTACACAACGTTCATTGTGTAAACTAGATGTCGTAAGGACCTGTAAAACCGTAAAAATAACTGTAAAAATATTTTTTTTTGCAAATTTACGTTTTTATGGGTAAAAACGTAAAAGCAAAAATGTAAACATAAACATAAATTTTATGTTAATTTAACTAGCTTTCGTGCAAAATGCCGGTAAGGGAGTCACGGAAAACAACAGAACATGCATCCTCTTCCCTTTTTGTGCACTCAGAAATGGTGATGTTGCGCACAAATTTCCTTGTTTTCTAACGGCCAATCTTGAGCACAACCGTTTTGCCCAAAAAACACATAATCGTGATGTTGTGTGCAAGTGCAGCCTTTCGGACCTTACCGACATTTTGCACGAAAGGTTGCTAAAAACTAAGCCTGGTGATATCATACGGCTAGTGACAGCGGCAACACTATACCAAACTGTGCAACAAAAGACTCGACACAAGTTGCCTACCGGTCAGAGAACCGGCCGAGGAAACCATAAGGGACCAACCCCTTGCACCAACTGTGAGCCAGTTGTGAGTATAGAGTACTCAAGCAGCGGAGAGGAAGAAGATTGTGATGAACTGTGTGGGCCTACAACGATGGAGGGGCCACTCGAACTATCACATGATGATTGGGATATCAACCTACTTCAGCCATACGACACGGGAAGTGAGGAGTCTTACTCCAAGGCAGCTGGAGGGGGAGCTGTGGAGGAAGACAACAATTGTGGCTACCAGCTGCTTTGGGTGAAGAATATTAGAGAGCTGGAGGACCATGTTCTTTGCCAAATGCCACTGGCAACCCTAACGACTTAACCACCTGTTGTACCGACCACAGAAGCAAAGCAAGAAGAATTATAGAGACAAACCAAGATCCTAACGACTCTGATGACTTGATGGCTACGAGAAAAGAAAAGGGAGAACCGCATCTTCCCGCGCCCAAAATAATCACAGAAAGTGAAGAACCGGCTGTCATTTGAGGAGTTGTGATGAAGCAGCGGGCACAAGAACCAGCTGAAGTCATGCCGAGTCCTGGTCACCAAGAGGCACTCAGAGGGCGACTCAAAAAAACGATGTGGAAGGAAAAGATTATGGCAAAATGTTACAGCAATATTGCAAGAAAAAACAAAATCTCCATTGTAAAAAAATACACATTGCTCGCGCAAACATGCTCGCTCGAGTGGTGCACATGCACACACACTTTTGTTGAAAATCGTGCGCCAAATCGCAGGAAGTTTGCAAACTTGCAAATGTGGTACCCTAAACCCCAAACCACGTACCCACAACTACTTTCTTATAGGCGAGAGCGAGTGTCAAGGCTGTGCTCCAAGACGCCCGTCCTAAGGATGTCAGTACACCTTTCTGAAGTGAAAGGTCACGGCGATCGACCCGATGGATCGATCGCACCAAGCAGAATTGGCCTTTCCCCGCCACCCCCCCCACCTGGCACCAACCCTCCCAACGCTTACTCGCTTCCGCCGGGCCGCCAAGGAGGCACCTGCTGCGCTTCAATGAGGCCGCCAAGCTCTCTTCAAGTCCACGCCAACCTACCGCACTTTGGGCCGTTAACAACCGCCAAGCAACTTTCACCGGCCACGCCTCTCCCCTCCTCATCACCTCCAGATCGCCACTCGTTCTAATCTATGGCCAAGAGGTGCCAAGAGGCACTTCAAAGCGGCCGCCCAGCTTGGTCGAAGTGAACATCGCAGGGTTGTGTCGATTGCGATCAACAGATTTTTCGATTTGGCCCCCCTCAAACCCCACTTCCCCCTGCCTTCAACTCCCCCACCCACCCACCCACCCACCGTGACTCGAGCCAATACCGTAGGCGATGGCAAACGCCACCGCCGGCCACTCGCCCAAGTGCCGGCTGGGTTCGCGTTACCCGCTGCACCTCCCCCGCTTGCCAGTCAGCGGTCAAGGGTACGCACACCGCCTGTCCCGGAGCCCCCCCTCGATGTAACGCTATCACCGTAACGGCTGCATGCGTAACGCGAAAAAGTGACCACGCACGCATGGAGCGTGGCACCAAAGGTGTCCCGGAACCCCCCCCCCGGGCTTTAGTCATGCCTAAGCCCAGGCCAGCAGGCCGCGTGCGCCGGCCGAGGAAACCCGGGGGAAGCCGGCAGGAGGTGGGGTGCCGCCCATGCCGCACTGCACTCGCGCACCGTGTGCCGGGTGCAGGGAGCCTAGGGACGGGCGTGAGTGGGCGGTCGGCGCCCATGCCGCCCACCGCGCCGCACGCGCACAACGGGAGGCGCAAGGAAGTCGGGGAGGGTGTGAGTGGGCGGTCGGCACGCACGCCGCGCGCCGCACGAGGCGCAAGGGAGTCGGGGAGGGTGCGAGTGGCCGATCGGCGTCCGCGCCGCGCGCCACCCGCGCACGGCGCGGCGCCAGGAAGCCCGGGGAGGGAGCGGTGCGTGCGCGGCGTGCGGTCGGCCAAAATCGCGATTTTGCTCTATAAAGCTCTGCTCGCTCGCAAAAAAGTACCCATACCAAAGACACATCTCTAGTGTGCAATTCATTTTCGCCAAGTACGGATCCTTAAAAAAGACACTTTATCGAAATTGTTATGTTTAGCGTCAATTTGATGCTAGGGGTGGGGGTGGGGGGGTGTTCCAGACCTGTGACGCTAAGAGATTATGCAATTGCAACAAAATCGACATAAGCTTGGAAGATACCCAAAAAGCTGCTGAAAAGCGGTAATAAACGTATGACTTGTCACAACATCACGTCGTTTACCACACCACAAGACACAGCCCATCTCTCCGCCAGAAGCCAAATGTCCAAACATCATATCATATGAGGCTGCTGGGAAAATTGCCACACTTCGCTCCCCCGCGGTCCTGGGACTGATCGCCCTGCCAAAGCACCAGCCCAGCCGCCCGCCCGTTTCTCACCCGCCACAGAGATTGTCCCCGTTGCTGTTGCGGCCTGTGGCCCAAGGCAGCCGTGGTGGTGCCCTGGTGCCCCGCCGAAAGGACCGGTCTGCCGGCGCCCCAGGCCAGGCGAAGCCCACCGTGCCCCAACACCTCAATGGTCGGAGGCGACGGACGGACGCCAATTGGCAACAAGCCCGCAGTCAGGGTAGAATACGACAACCTGTGCCCGTAAGCACGCCATGCCGGCAGGGGGGTGCTCGCTGCTGGAGAGCTGTGGTCGCCCCGCTCACGAAGGCGGAAGTTGGTTGTGCGGTCTGTGCGGTTGTTGAGCTGGTTGGAAAACGGGGCGGGGGAGCACAAGAGTGAAGCTGTTCTGGAGGCTGTGCTTCGTGTGGAGCCTCGAAGCTGTGACATCGTTGGCAAGACGTGTGCAACCACAGCGTCTTGCGCCATGCGATTTGTCGGGATGTGCTTCACGCCATATTTGTAGAATCGATGGTTTGCGAAGGAGACGCGCGAGACGATGGAGGGCGACCCGCAAGAGGTGCTGTTGCGCTCGTGTTGAGAGCGGTCGTCCATGTTCGTTGACCCAGGGAGAGCCAGTGGCGACTGAGGGAGGCGTTGCGCATATGGGCTGACTGGCACGAGACAAAGATAGCTCCCCAAGTAAGCGAACGGCCCCTGATCTACTGCGTGATGCTGTGTTCAAAACTGATTGCTGGGCTATGGAAATGGAGGAGAAACGCCCTGTGACCATAGAAAGCTGCCCTGTGTTGCAGCAAGACACTAGTAATTGTGTGTTCTCCTGCTCTGCTGAGGATGCCCAGGAACACGGTGCTCATGGTAGAGTATTGTTATTCGCCAGGACTGCACCACTCTTCCTGGTCCGCTGGTGGGTGGGAGTTTTGCATACATGTGGCCAGCTATGTACGGAGGGTGTGTTGCGCTGATGGAGGTGCCTAAGCCAACTGATGCTTGGGCCCCTGTAGTCATGACTTCTGTGAGCATGCAAGTTCAGAAGGTGCGCACCAATCCTGTTGCTTGTGTGGACTTGGGGTCCAGGGATCATGGAGATCTTGGGGACAAAGACCTGAGCGAGATGGCTGCATGTTGGCATTTTGTCCTGAAAGTTTGGAATAAGGTGACGATGGGAAACACGTTAACTATTGGAAAAGGAACGTGGTAACCAAGGGGAGCACCAAGATACTTCAGGGCCACAATGCCTTGCATCGGTTATTCGTGTCTTTGCATAGAGCAAGCACGCTGAACCTGCCAATCAGATACCAGTCAATCTTGTCCTTGGAAACATGGACTGCCATCAGCCAGCAAGGGAGACATGTAGCACTGCATTGGTTTGGGCGGAGGCATTGCAATGAGATAGGCTGTAGGTTGTGGGGGTAATGCTTGGCAATGTGTGGAGTGCACCTTACTTGACCAGAATCCACAAGAGAATCTGCTTGAGGCCTGGGCACACAGTGAACGCTATGCAGAGCCCCATGGGGTGTGGTGGTTCACACTGATCTATTGCATTGATGCTACAAATGCCAGCCTTGCTCATGTGTCTTGCAGCTGTAGTGTTCATAGTATGAACTGCACATCAAGGTCAAAAAGAATTGCCCACCCTTTGCGTGTGTTGTTGCCTTGTCCTGTCCTGTCACAACTAGGATGTTTGTCATACGCATGTTATCCCCATCAGCTGAGCTAGTGCTGCCACAGCGTTCGACAGATGCAAGCAAAGTTCCTTTCATCTGTACTCCGTTACCTTGATGATCACCCCCTGTGATTGCATCAACAGTCTATATGGCCATATCCAGCCATAACAGGTTGTACTATAGAGAATATGACACGATTTTGTAGTGGTTCCCATCCTGTGAGCCTTCTTGAGGCTGAAAAAGTAGGAGGGGCTGTGATGTTGCTATGCTGCATCCAGAATGGGCTGTGAGCACCCTAGTGCAAGAGAAGTTCTTTTTAATGTGACATTCAGTGCAATCAGGGATTGCACTGTCATGTGTGCACCACTTGTGTCAAGCCAGCACCAGGTGATGTTATAGCCTTGAGTGCCTTTGTGAACAGAAGTCACCTACCGTGACAAGCCATGATCACAGCACCACATTGTCCATTGGTTGGCAAGGGCAGTTGACAAACAGGAGAATGGCTTGATGGCCTTCCCGTAGTGCACAGCCACCATTGGCAGTGCCCTGAAGGAGACAGGGTGCCACCGTGTGTGTGTGTGTGTGTGTGTGTGTGTGTGTGTGTGTGTGTGTGTGTGTGTGTGTGTGTGTGTGTGTGTGTGTGTGTGTGTGTGTGTGTGTGCTGTTTGCTGCTGATAACTTGCCCAGTATCTGAACATTGGATTTTTAGGCATGACGGGACGCGAGTTTTCTAGTTCACAGTCAATATATGGCTGTTTGGGAGGCTGTTCTGCTGGGTTTGTTGCAGAATGCTTTGATCTGAGCACTGCATTGCAGGTGTCAAAACTGACAGTGCGTGCTGTGCCTGCTGCTTGTTGAATGCTCCTGCCCTTGCTGGGATGCATTGGCCCCTCCAGCCAGACATAGAAGAACTAGTTTGGCTACTAATGTGTACTTTAAAGATGGGCAGTGCTGCAATGGAAGCACGTTGGAAGTACGTGGAAGGAGTACACAGTGCGGAAATCTCCCAAACAGGAGTAGTTGGAAGCACGTGGAAGCACGTTGGGCGACACAGTTGCCATATGATGATGGGTTCGCTTGCCATGTTGTCTGGAGGGATCTTGCAAATGACAGCTGTCTTGCTGTTGTCCAGGATGTCATTGTGACCTCAGCGTGCGGTCCTGTTGCTCCAAGCTCTGCACCGCAACAACTGGGTCAAGCTCAGCCGGTGGCCCAGACTGTTAGCACCTGTGAACCTCCTCAAGAAGCCGTTGCTGGCTTGAAATGCGTGACAAAGCGAGGTGCAGTTGTGGTGGTGTCTCGAGCACCAGTTCAGGGTGCACAAGTGCATGGTGAAAAACAAGCCCAGGACAGGAATGCTGCAGCCACAAAAGCTGCAAAGGAACTGAAGAATGACCACCAATCAAAGAGGCAGCGCCAGGAGACAGCTGTTGCTCCTGTTGTCAAGTTCAAAGATGGTTCAAGTGGACAGTCAATGCAGGCAGCCCAAGGGGTGTTTGTCAAGGTCAGCGTAACATGCTTCAAGTGGTCAAGAGCCATGCTGCTGATATTGCCATATGTGAAATGTTGTGAGCACTGAGAATGGGTTGATCAATTTGCAACCAGGCATTGTTTTGTTGCTTCGCATTGGTACAAGGGGGGTTCCATTGGACATTCATTGCCAGCAGTACTTAAGTGGAGCAGTTCCTTGTTTCGTGCACATGCACTTAAGCACATAGGCTGTTGTTGCCAGTTCTTTGAAAGTACTGGCTGGTTTGTTGCAATTTCTGCTGGGCATGCATCGGCACAAGTGCTTGTGTGCTTTTGTGCTACTGAATCTACTGACTGGGGGTGTGGATGCAACTCTGGTGCCTGACAACAACAGAGGGGTACCAGCTGGAGCAAGGAAGCAAGAAGCAGTGCCATACATGGCAATGTGTTTCAGCATGACTTCCACAGATTCAGTTGCTTATGGAACTGCTTGAACTGCGCTTGTCATTTTTTGCCCACAAGTGGTCAGATACCACACCAGTTGCAGTGTTGCATCCGTTCACCCAGGTGAGCCCTCCATCGACTTGCTGGTGCCAGGACACGATTGTTCATGCAAACAACATGTAGCAGAAGAAAGTATGCGCATGTGAGCCTTTGGCATGACTGTTCTCAGTGCTAGATTCTTGTCTTCTTGCTGACAATCTGTTGCGCCTTTTGGTTGGCAAGGAAGAGAAAGAGGATGGTGAACTGGAGGAAGGAGAGATCGTGGAGAAGGTGACCAGAAGCAACAAGGAGGCACGCAAAAGACCACGATTCGACCCACCTGTGCAGGGCCCTGAAATCAGACGCGGCACAAGCGTGGGTGGGCTCTCTGCAGGGATGAATGGTGCCCTGCAGGAGCCACGAACGGTGGGCCATCGCTCTGGTGTGTCCTCGCCTCCCAGTGGTGCACCCACCACCAGTGGGGCACAAACGAACGCATTTGCCACTGGCAGCTTCTTCCCGGTCGTGTCGTCAGGTGAGCAGCAGTCTGTTTGTAGGTTTATCTATTCCTTCTTGTTTACAACACCAAAGACGTTGCGGTGCCAAGCATCTCTCACTTGTGCTAGCACTTGTATGGTATTTCCCTGGTGTGGCCAGACTGTTGCTTGTGACCACATGCAGTGGTATCTTTATTCGACACAGCCTTTGGGAGTCGGCGTGGGGACCATATCACAGTGCAGAAGCTTTTGTGTTCCGTTCATGCGATTTTTGCGGCTCAGTGGGTGATGTGATTTCATGCATTTTTGCACGCAGGGCACCTTCCCCAGATCTACCCAACCATATCCCAACCGCACCCAACACCCAACGTTCCCCTCGAACCCATGCAGCAGCAGCAACCACAGCAGCACCTTCCTCAAATACCACAGAACGTAATCGTACAAGGGACCCATGTCCTACATGACACACTGAAACCCAGGTTCGCCATTGTTGGTCCCGCCATGGGGAACATGGCACAGAGGCCACTGATGGTCGACCAGCAAGTCAATCAGCAGCCTCTAATGAGCCAGCAGCCGTTCATAATCAACCAGGGGATCAATCGACCGCCATTGATTGTCCGCCCCGTCCAGCATCCACCACAACAGCCACAACCCAGCATCTACGCTGGCGCGGCCCCGGCTGTTGCTGTGCCAGGCAATCAGCACGTTGTGGGCTTGCAGCAGCCCCTACTGGGGCCGCAGCTTGGTGTGCAGCAAATACCGGGGCAGCTGAACCCACTGCAGCCACCACAGTCACCACAACCGCCACAGCCACCACAGCACAATGTACTGAATTTGCAGCAGTTCCCAGCATTCGGGGGCCTCCAGACGTCTTCCCAAGGCGGCCAAGGGCCTATTGAGGCGCTGCCCATCCAGTCGATGGGACTGAACGTGGTCCCAAGGCAGTACCCGTTCTTTCAGTGACAGGGCTGCTGAAGTGGTCACTCGAGATGGACTTGGTGGAGATCGCGTTTGCGACATTCCAATCATGGATTTGTGCCCGTGCATCCCAAGGTGCAGGGGCTTTGTCTGTATCCGGAATATGCAGTGGAAGAATGTGCGAGGGAAATTCTGCCACTGCCAGGGAACACGGCAGCCGTGCTGGTTGTGCAACAGTGCTTTGATCTGTCCAGCAGTTCCGCCAACGGGAATGGCGAAGAGAGTGGTGGGCAATTTTGGGCACATGAACTTTGGTGGTGGGCAGCGGGCCTAATAGAACATGCAGACGCGTTGCTGCTGAATGTAGCGGCGACAATAAGTTGATGATGGCGCAAACGGATGCTATGCATGCTGTGGGAACGACTGTAAATTTGAATGGGAGGATCGCTTGATGGTCAAAACGTACATGAACCGACGCTTGTGGGGGCATCTCCGCTCCCCAGGCAAGGGTCGCACAGCGACCGCTACTGAACCCATGGCGACCGGCTCCGCGTGAGCATCGTAGAGCTTGCAAGCAGCGGAAACTGCATTTCCAACTTGAGGAGTTAACCGCCGTCCCCAAGAACAATGCAGTCCCCAGTTGTGGGGCATTGGTCGACTCCTGTATATGGAGCAGTAACTTCATGGGGCCCACCATTGTGAACATGATGGTTGCAGGCTCGGCGCCGTCTGAATGAGTTTATTCAACTCATTGGAAGTCCGATCACAAGACAAGGATGCAACGATGAACAAGTTCCCACCAGTGAACCCACACCAGGACGGGTTGCATGAGCATGCGCAATCAATCGATGATCCCTTGGACCATGCTGCACAGTCCGGATGGCGATTGGCTGTGAAGACCACGCCGATCGCTTCCAATCAATGCCTGCCAGCATGGGCTCTGCCTCCGTTGCGAACGTGCGGATCTGTCATTGTTCTCCATTGCGCTGGTGAGTTGCAGCCCGTGGTGCGATGGCCTGCTTTTTCTGCCCGGTCCCCTCTAGTCCATTCGTCAACTGGCACATCCCTCACAACCCTCTGCGTTCTTGCTGACGATTTGGACGCCTTCCATAGCCGTCTGATCGTCTGTTGGCGCGAGTTTGTTGCTGACTGTTGGTAAACGTTGCAGAGGCCAATTGGCTGTCCTTGGGGTGGTAAGAGAGTAGTGCTCTGCAGTGGCGAACGCAAGCAAGCCCAACGGGCTATGGTCGTCGCCACCCAACGGCTTGCAGGAGCCACGCAGCCGATCTTGCAATTCACAACCAGGCCTGCAATTGAGACAGGTAGACGACAGATGACAACAAAGAATGGCTAAACACAATTTTCTTTTGGTCTTGTTCTTGCTTGTGGCCTTTCATCTGGCATGTCACTGAAGGCACTACAAGTGAGCGCGAGAAAAGCGTCACAAGTCCCGCGCCTGCAGGTGATAGTTCTTGTTTATAGGGCACACGGGGTACTCCACGTATGGCTTGTCGCCTTCCGCATGACAAGCGCCGCCTGCAAGGCTCCACGGCCAGCCATTCACCTCCTCGAATGCGTCTGGATTCGCTCCTCCCATTGGAGAAATATAGTCGAAGATCTTACACCCCTCTTCCTCAACCGCAGGCCTCCCATCACCCCATCTACAACCTACACCGACCTGCCGAACAAAACACTTCCGCATCCTTCTCCAATTTCGGCAACTATCATCAACAACGACCTTCGCCTCCTGTCCAGCTACGTGTGAGTGCACCCGCATCTCCCAAATCACCGTCGGCAACAAACGGCCATGCCCGTTCCTGTCCACTGGGCCAAGAGGGCACATTTGCCAGAATGTGTGACGCTGTCATGCTGGTTCTAAATTACATTGCAACTCCAAACTTCGGCAGGCGGTCGAAGCGGGGGCGCACCAGCCTACATGTACAGCCCCTCCGGCACCCCCTCCTTCTTCTTGTACAGCACCTTGTCCTTGGCCTTCTGGAAGTCGGCGTGCGTGACGCGCATGCGGCGCTCCCGCAACGCCAGCAGGCCCGCCTCGGTGCACACTGCCTTGATGTCCGCGCCACTCAGCTCGTCCTTTGCCATCACAAACTCTTCGAGGTCCACGTCCTCCCCAAGCGTCATCTTCGAGGTGTGGATGGTGAAGATGCGGCGCTTGGTCTTGGGGTCGGGCAAAGGGAACTCGATCTTGCGGTCGATACGGCCGGGACGGATGAGCGCGGGGTCCAGGGAGTCGATGCGGTTGGTGGCCATGATGACCTTGACGTCGCCCATGGCGTCGAAGCCGTCCATCTGGTTCAGCAGCTCCAGCATGGTCCGCTGGATCTCGCGCTCGCCGCCCGACTGGGAATCGTAACGCTTTGTGCCGATGGCGTCGATCTCGTCTGTGGCATTGAAACAGGCCTCAATCTACGGAAGAATCTGCATAATTTGACTTACTTGAAATGCTGAAATATTGTAATATCACCACAAGTTAGTCCTGCCAAGATGAACACTTGAAACGAATATTACTGGAAGGATGGACAGGCTCGCAGAGTTTGGCTGCTAACGGTTTGATAATTCCTGCATGCTTACAATACCACAATTGGAATACAATGACGGAATAGTGGGACACAATAACTACTACACACTTTGTCATGACATCATCTATCTTTGTCATAGTCTGGCCGACGACTGTTTGCTATGTGAAGACGAACAAACCCCACGAACATGGCAGCAACAGTAGCAGCACTGCAGACCAAAAGCACCAACAAGCAGATAACTCATGAACGGAAAACAAAATAAATGGTGCGTGGCAGCGTGACGTTGATACATATTGACAGAATTCAACACGGGCTACGTTGATTGAACAAATTGATTCAATCAGCAGAAGATGTTCCGATTCACATGCTACCGCAGTACATCTGGCTGAAGTCAATGGGAATGTTTTACACTTTGCACCAATGCAACTCGGCAGAGTCAGCCAAGAAACCAAAACCCAGGCAACCAGCAATTCATTCACCCACAACACACCTATAAATACAATTGCTGGCGCCATTTCGTCGGCCACCCTGAACAGTTCCCGGACGAGCTTGGGTCCGTCGCCCAAGTACTTTTGTATGAGCTCCGATCCAACGACCCTCAAGAAAGTCGCTGAAGTGGAATTCGCAACTGCCTTGCCCAGAAGAGTCTTGCCGGTGCCAGGGGCCCCATACAATATGACGCCCTGCATGCAATGAGATTTGTGTCAAGGACCTGGGCAGGTCAAAACACATGTACACATTTTCATTCACCTGTACATTGGACGAGTGACAAGGTCAGACTGTAGCAAACCATGAAGTCCAAAGGCAAGTGACAAAGCCTTGGCACAGCATTCCTCCTATTTCTGCGGACAGTATGTGATGCAGCACAGCATACTATGCAGTACTGTACAACAGTGCCACTAATCAAGAGTGCCTCTAAAGATAAGGTACCATACCTGTGAGAAGTCGGAACTAGATCATGACCTTTTTATGGCCACCATCCATGCCTTGCCATGGAGAGACAGTTGTCACAATACACTACAACAAAGGGAGCCAACAGCCACAAGTGCACACACAAAAAAGGAATCCGCAGACATCCAGCTGTCCACAGCACAGATTTCTGGAAGGGTTTTCCATTGACGCCCTGGTAGATCAGATGCACAGCAGCCACAAAAGTGCTGCAAGGCAATGGCCAGAGCCAAAGCAGCAAAGGAAACCAGACAACTGCTCACTGTCATACTGGTGGCAGCAGGAAAGGCAAATCGTTGTATTTACCACTACACACAGGAACACGGACAAGGGATGAAGGGGAACAAACGCAAGACTGCAAGTGGTGGCCTACCTTAGGTGGCTTTATCCCTATGTCTTCATACAGCTCAGGATGGGTAAGTGGAAGCTCCACAGCCTCCTTGATCTCCTGTATCTGCGATTCCAGACCTCCAACATCTGCGTACGATTCCAGCGGAGCCTTGTCTACCTGGGGACCAACCAGCTGTCAGGCAATGTAAGGGGACCAAGCCAAATCTGCCACTGGATCTCTTTCCACACACGCAACCACTGAATTGGGGAATCCATGCCGCAGGAGGGGCTTTCCTCACCGCAAAGCCTCAACAATTATTGTGACGACACAAAAAATAGTGCCCAAATTAGTGAACAATGTGTGGGAGGGATATGCCTTGGTGGGTAGTTAACTGGCCATGGTGTCAACAGGAACTGGAATGGTCTGTATCATACTACATTTCTACATACAGGTTTGAGTTCGTTTCGGAGTCCTATCTTTGGCTACCTGTTCTCTGTGCCAGGGAAGCATTGCACTCACAAGATGAACACACAACTGCGCAAGGTCACAGCTGACTCTGAAAAATGAACAATTGGTGCCATATAAACATTTAGGTGATCTCAGCAGCTGTGGGCAAGCATCAATGTCTGTTTTGGGTGCGCTCTGTTCTGCAGGGCGTGAGAAAATGAATGCAACCCATCATGCCACACACTTGCACACAAAAGGCCAAACTGCTGACCTCTTTGACTTGCAACGCAGCAGGGACCTTGTGTGTGGCCTTTGTTGGTGCCCCCCTCCCCCATTTCTGGCCCAGATTTTTTTTTAACTCTTCTATCTTGCTTTGCTGTGCATTTGGTTCTCATTATTGATTCTATGTTCTTACCGCTGCCTGGGTTGCTGGTGTGAACACTGCTCTTTGACAATGGACATGCTAGGTTGACACTTGAGGTTCTTCCCTTTGTATTCGCCTTGTTTTGTCTCCGGGCTTCCCCTAAATCTCCTCAAAGGTGAAGGAAACATGGGATTATGCCTTATTACTCTGTCCTGTAACAACAACTCTGTCCTGTAACAATCTTTTCCTTCCCTCCCACCCCACCCCTTCCTCCACCGATCCAATCTGCCACCCCTGCCAACTCTTACGTTGAACAGCCTCTGGTATCATGAAGGCAAAGAACAGCCACCCTGCACCGCCCTCACCTTCATCACGGAGACCATTGGATCTGTTTCATCTTGTAAGATGCCAACAACAGAAAGTGCCTGAAAAGAAAAAGACACAAAAAGTGCATGCAGAAATTGAAACCAGAGTGCGTTCACGATGGTGTGAGCAGCAAACGAGGTGCACCTTGGCAGACAGTTACATAGCACAGTCAATTGTGAGCGAGACAAGGTTGTTGGTACATCGCAGCATAGCAGTGTCACAGACTGGGCAACAGTGCCAAGACACACCAACACTTGGGAAAATACCTGGTCAGAAAGTGCAAGAGTGGAAATGCTTGGCAACAAGGATTGTGGGAATGGTTGGGGGTATTCAACACTACTTGAACAAGCAACAAGCCAACAGCCAAGACCATGACAAAGCACACCGGGCTGAAAGGTGGTCAATGGATAAAGGACTGGAACCCCCTTTGCACAGCACAATTCTGGCAGCACGCAAGGGCATCAGGCAATGCAGCTTGGCAGGGTGTCCAGAGTGTGTTCTGCTCCCCCAGCCTTCAACAAACCTTGTTGTGCATCAGCACAGAGCAGCCAGGCTCCAGTTGTTGTTTGTCGACAAATGACAGAATGGCAACATAGTACTCTGGGCCCACTGACGATGAGACGATGCCATGGCTGCAGCAAGACACAGAACTGTTACCACCAAAACCCCTGGAAGCCTGGTGAGCAGGCAGCCAATGAAAATTTTCGCATGTTACAGCACAGGTAATCCACCAATACAAGTTTGACAGAAAGGAATGCACAGCTCACTCACTTTTCATCGATTATCTCCTCCAGAGTTCCCACACTCACAGGTGAGCCGCGAAGATCGTCCACCTGCATTTGAGCACACCCTTGTTAAGAATCGCTGTTCAAAATCATGGACATCATCTTGCATTCTGAAGCTGTCCATACTTTTGGTCCAAGCAGTTTCAAATGCTCTCCAAAGATGCCACACTATCATTCCAACACCAACAGCTGTCATGAGCTGGGTGACAGGGACTACGATGTTGGTACAATACAAGAAAAGCCAATCTTTCTTTGGAAATTTTGAAAATAAATACATGTGAATGGCAGCAACTCCCATGGTTGCACACATATCCAAGAGCAGTCTTTATTCACACCGCAGTGAGTGATACACCAAGCAGACGCGATGTGCAATCAGCACACAACCTGCAGTTATTGGCAGGTTTATGTAGCCCGTTTGCTGATATTGTGCCCAGCAACCAGGATTCACTTCTCGGCCCTTGTGCCTTGCACCTCGCCCAATTTCACTGTGAATAGTAGGTCACGTTATTCATACATGATTGGAACAACAGCAGTCCAGAGCACAGATGCAAGAGCAAGTACAGCAAAGCAAGGCCTTCGGGAATTTGGCATCAGCAAAGAAAGCACCTTGGAGTGATCTTCATCTCCCTTGTTGTCCTGTGGCTTCAGGCGCTCCTGATTTGCCACAAATTCCTCCTCCATGAGAAGGAAGTCCTTAATGCGCTCCAGTTTCAGCAGTCGCAGCTTGCACTTTGCGTTGGGGGTCACCACTGGGAGCTTGGGCCCGAGGCCTGTGACCCTGTCCCTCTTTCGCTGCTTGCGCCCCACCCGAGGGGGTGGATTTGGCGGCTCCCATTTCTTCTTCTTGTCCTGTACCAGCGTTTACAACTGGCGTCACAAATGGCAGTTTCTCATCCAGCACAACACTCTCCATCTTGGCAGCAGCGTGGCCGAAGGATCAAAAAGAGGAATCCCCAATTTCGCCCACTCCACTCAAATAACCCCATTGCTTCCCTTTTGGCCGCCGGTTGCCCTTGGCGCAGCTGGCCGGCCTTGCGCAGCTGATCAAAGCGTGGATCAGCGATTGTGCGGGAAGCAAACAACAACTTCGAGTGGAGGCTGCTCTGCCTGTCCTCGCTTGTCTGTTTCAAGGCCTTGCTTTCTGTCGTGTGTTCTTGACAAATCAAATAAACGGAGTTCCCCTTCGTTTCTCATTCCCCGATTGGCATGCGACGGCTGGCCATCCTCCCATGACGAGAGGGTGATCTCCGCGGGTTGGTGTTGTGCGGGGTCGCGCAGCGCCCGTAATCATAGATCAGCAGACCCTTCGTGCACTCTACGCAGCTCCACAATCGACATCGGGGGCTCCAGCTCCGCAAGCCTCGCCGTCAGCACGAGCAACCACCCCGTCTTGCGCGCGCGTCCGCAGAAGCAACCCGAAGGCTCCAGCGGCAAACCACTCGCCTGGTTCTTCTTGGACTCGCCGCCGCCCTGGCTGGATCCCTGGTTGGGCACGCTGTTGTTCTGCCCCATTGTCCTCAAAAAATCCTTGGCAATCGCTGAGCCGTGGCCTCTCGCCGTGTCCAATGCCCAACCCTCCAGCTCGACTTCACTGCCGTGTTCTGCCACCAGCGCAGAACTCGAATAACACCCAGCCCACCATGAACTCAGCGTAACGCCCAATGGCGTGAATTTCCCCCACCCATTGCGCTTTTTTCGCCCCGAAATGCCACAGCATGTTTCGCTGTCAAATGATTCAAAACTTTTTATCCGCTATAACACAGCGTTTTCCGTCCCCAAACGATGAAAGTTTTTTCTCCCCAAAACAAAACAAGTTCTTTGCCGCAAAAGATTACACGGTATTTTCTCCCTAAAATAACATAGCGATTGCTGCCCTGAAAATACGCAATTGTCTTTGCCACGAAACAATATAAGTTTTTCTCCCCAATGCTAGATTTGCCATTAGTCATTGGGCCACGTCACCCACTGACGGGCTCATGACCAATAAGAGGCGACTAACTGGGTGTCACTATATCGTAGACCAATCAGTTTGACATGGACAACCGCCCAGCGCTGGGCCTTGCGTTGTGCCAAGCTTGGCAACCATATTCTCACACCCATATTCAAGCGCACTGCTGCATGCTGCCACGGTACGTACAACTTTGAGGAGCTCTGCAACTCAGCGCCCAATGTTGTTGTACAACATTTGAGGTTGCCATGACAAAGATGGTGTATGGCAACCTTGGACACACACCCCAAGGTACCATCAGGGCTCCATAGCTATGCATTCTGGCTTGCCGATCGGCTCTACCATTATCTTCATTACTATTTTGTGTTCAATCCAAGTACTAATATTGTATTTCGTCTGTTCTAGAATAAGCCATACCTTCCCTGTCCTCTCAACATCAAAGAACCACAAATAATGGGAATTCCTGCAAACAATAATAAGCAGTTGTCCACAATGGCACTCAGAATGATCAAACAACATCATTGAATATTGCCCAAGTCAATAGTCCATGGAGGCGCCTAACAGCGAGGGGTGACATTGGCACATTTCTTGTGCTACTCTGGACAACACCTCATTATGTGTTGTTTATGTTTTATACATTATTGTGGATGGGAAAGTGACCGTTGTTTGAAGCACCAATAAATGGAGCCAGTCTATATGAATAGATGGCTGCCATGCCACTTGAAATATTACGCGAATACTATTAAGCTGGTGCCCCGTGAGGCCCAGGATTCCAAGCCAGTTTGGCCTCGGTCGATAGTTTGCAAACAGACCGGAGGGGTACCCCTCAAGCAGCCTACCAAGAGGCCACAAGGAACCCACAGGGGCCGTCAAGGCCCAGATGTATGCCGAACAAGAGGACAACTGCCACATAATCCTGCCCAGCTATTCACTGCGCAAGAAGCACCCAAGAAGCACTATGGCCTGTGAGGCCCGCACCTGACGCCAGCCACCTGCCTGCCCGGCGACTGGCCGAGACACCGTGCGCGTGCCAAGCGACCGACCCGAATGGATCAAGGGCACCTGCCGATGGGCCCCACGTCAAAAGATTGGAGCAATGCCCTTTGATCGGGCAGTTCAACCCATGGAAACCCATGGGACTCCGCGGAGGGGGTCGCAGCCTCGTGGCGGCGAAGACAATCCCAAGGGGATTGTTCGGAGGCGGCCGAGGGGATCTAGAGGCAAGGGGCAGAGTTCCCTTTCTGCCCGGGTAGCGCACTTACGGAGGGGTGCTCTAGGGAGAGCACCCCCCAAAGATGGATGCGGGAATCGATGGCGAGGGCGGTGCGGAGGCGTTTCCGGAACGGGGGGGATTTTTCCAGAAAAAGCGAGCCGGCCATTCTACGGAAGGGGGCCGTGCGCCCAACCCTGCCGGGGGGGGTTTCTCACGGAAGCTACCTCGAGGAAACGCGCCGACCCGATGGCGGGCCGGAGGGAGTGCAAGGGGTTGTGAGTGCGGAGAGTGAGGTGGTGGGGGGCGCCTGTACCGCCGAGCGCTGACTCAACAGGGCGCCCTAGGGGATGTGCAATATGTGCGCGTATCGGGCAGGAATCGGGCGCTGTCACATCGCTCTGTATGCAGAGGTGGGCCATCCAGGAATGGGGACGGACTAGGAATGGGGACGGGAATGGGAACGGGAACGGACCGGAGTCTGTTCCCGTCCTTGGGCCGGCAGGCCCAGGAACGGCCGAGGAATGGCCCGTCCCTGGGCTGGAACGGACTCGGGACGGATCTGGAATGGTGTACTGCCGTCCCAACTCTGTTCCGGCGTAGTACGGCCCACCTGGGCATCCGTTCCTGTACCGCTCCATGCCATGCCTCCCTCTGTTCCAGCCTGTCGTAGAGTCCGTTCCTATCCGGCAACATCACACGTGGGCCAATCAGAATTGTATGATGCAGTTGGAAGCGCCCGTCTTGCATTTGTTGATCAATAATGGGTGCTCCCAAGTGGGTCATGCAATTCTTGGCCTTCTTGCCACCACACATTGTTGCCACCTTGTGGGGAGGCGCTGGTGGTGCCCACCATCGGTGGCAAGCACAAGGACGGATGCGGGAGGCATATGGAGGCGGAGGCAAGTGCGGTGAGGCGACGCAGCCTCACCAGTTGCGTGAAATCGGCACTCAAAGTGCCAATTGAGAGGCATCAGAGAGGTGCCAGAAAAGGGTGAGATCTGGGCGGCCAGGCACTTGCTGACCCGAACGGTCAACAAAGGGGAGGGGGCGGGGGAGGGAAGGGCAGAATGTGCCAAGAGAAAGGGAGGGGAGGCGGCAATAACCCCCTTGCTCGCTAGAATCGCTGCCGGGGGCTAACGATCTGCCCCATCGACTCTCGAATTAAGCTTGATGGAGCTGGGGGAAGCTGAGCGGTCACAAAAGGGAGGCCGGGGAGGGCAAGTAACGTGGCCAAAATAGGGGAGACGGCCAAAGGGCCCTCGCTTGTTAGAATCGTCCCTAGAATTGCAAGTGGATCTGGCATTGTGGTGAAATGGTCACCACGTTGGGTGCCCCACCCAACGGCCCGAGTTCGATTCTCGGCAACGTCTTAGCTTGCTAGTGGTCAACAAAAGGGGGAGCAAGGAGGGGAGGGCAACGTGGGCCAAAATAGAGGAAGGGGAGAGGCCAAAGGCTCCCTTGCCCTTAGAATCGCTGCGAGCGGGTAATGTTTGCCCACTCCCGTTTTGAATTAGACACAATGGGAGGCAGCTGTGTGGCAAGCTACCCACCAAAATGTTATCAACGACCGAGGCATGTTGGTGCCCCTTTCGTTGCTATGTGGGCATACGCCTCGGTCCATGCTTGGGCCATCAATTGCCGCCCCCGATGGTGGGAAGATTGCTTGCAAGAGGCGTCCACCGTTTTGGCAGCTCCCCTTGCCATGGCGTGTGGTAGCCCAACAGCAATTGGTTTTGATCGTTAGCAACGCCCGGCAGCTGCAACCCCTTGCCGTGCTTTGTTGTCCGTTCTTGTTGGGAATGGAGTCTATTCCATGATGGGAACGGACCCGTTCCAACCCCGTTCTGGCCCGGCCTAGATCCGGCCCAAATCCGTTCCTGGGGAACGGCCTAGGAACGGACTGGAATGGACTGGGACGGACTGGGATGGGAACGGGGACGGGTCCGTTCCTGGGACGGGGACGGACACCGTTCCCGTTCCCGTTCCTATGCCATTTGGCTGGGCCCAGCTCTGCCTGTATGCTAGGCGACTGGATGCGACCTGGCACGTGGGTGTTTGATTGCAGTCAGGCTAGGGATTCCATTATGGTCTAGATAAGATCATTATAAGATTCTGATGGCACAGATCAATTGCAAATTCAATTTGCAATTGAATGATACAAAATTTATGTTTTTCTGATAACTTTTGGGAAATCTAGGGTTTTGAAGAGGACAAAATAAGTGGACCCTAAGAAACAACCTTTGTTTCCGATAAACTTTTGAGCATTTTTAGGATTGAAAAGCTAAGTGTTGCTAGAAAGAAACAATGGTTAACGTATTTTAGGAATAGTGGAAGCTGCTGTCAGCTGTAGCCTTAGTAATAGGGTAGTTTATGATGAGATTTCGGCAGATCCGCGCATGGCATGCGCGATCTGTTGCAAATCGTGACCAGGGCGAGCTGGCCACCCTCGCGCCATGTCGTTTCCGACAGTGGGGGAAGGGGCGGACGGGCGACTGGCCACCATCCTAGAGTGGCGGAAAAGTCACGGTTTTCCAAGCAGTCAAGACGTCCAAGATTTTTCTGAGGAGTTGGAACTATTTCAGCAGCAAAGGATTGCACAACCGGGTGTGCAAGCCATTGTGTGGTCGACGGACAGTAGCATTAGCTTTGACAGGCTTTGGAAAAGAGCAAACGATATGCAAGCTGCCCTCCTTGAAGAATGGGAGGAGGCGCTTTAGCGGGATCAAGTTCTGTTTGACTTGACGAAGGGTGCAGCCATGGCCTTCACCCAAAATGTCGAAATGGTCGACTTTCCCCCGATCATGAAGTCTGAGATTTTGTATGGGCTAGAAGTGATGGTATACAGAGGACTCGAACCAGCTTGGCAAGTTGCTTTGAGGGAGGTGGTGTAGACGATGCTCAGAAAGGAAGAGAACAAGCTTGTTCTCTGGAGAGCTTATGAGATCGTCAACGACCGGTTGAAGGCTGCTGAGAATCGAATTATGAAGGAGCTTTTTCATCATAGGACTATACAGACGATTGAAGATGCTTGTGAAAACGATGAAGAGGTTCGAGCTCTGAGAGGCGAGAAAGCCCAGCTGGAGTCCATGCACTATGGACTGATCCCCATGACCTCATTGATGCCATGTATAGACCAAGTGCACAGCGATTTCTGTGAACGACATAGGGAAATCGACCAGCTGCTTGTGAAGGATGCAGTGAAGGTTGAGATGATGAACTGGTTGGCTAAGAAAGGGCCGAAACCATCGATCGAACCAGAGAAAACTGTGCCTTGCACTGAACGCCATCCATGAGGATGGCTGGGCACGAGCAGCGTGGCGTGGCAAGTCTACGATGGCACCCTGATCGGAA